CACTCGTCTTTCCACTGTACAGACGAGGTCACATCTAGGTTAGCAACCTGCCTCTCCTATTTTTATGTAATGACTTTTACCCTGGTTACGTGTCTCTGTGCTAGCTTACGCTCTGGTCTGCAGAAGTCATTACTTCTAAATGTACTCGGGCATAGTGCAGCCAAATATATTTATACTAGCCTTTACACTCCTAACCTAGACAGAATCATAAGATGCATGATCCTCAGTTAGATTTCACACATAGAGATGTACCTGCAGATTTAAACTAAGAGCAATGGTAACAATGGCCTGCACGCCCACTCCGGGCTTCATCACTGCTCACCAAGCTGCAGGCAAAATCTGAAGGATGTGCATAAAACAAAATGTATAAAAATGCGCGACCTCACATACCAGGACATATCCTGGTTAAAGACTCCACGATTCCTCAGTGTTACTGGAGGCCAAGGTAATGCTATCCAGAGTAAGCATCTGGTTAGATGCAGTGTTTCTAAGAATTTTAGGGCCAAGTACAATTACCTCAGTTTTATCTTTGTCTCTTTAGATCTTTGTCTTTAAAACATTCACGCAGTTCAAATAGTTGTTGTGTGTTATCTGGCTTGATGGATAGGTAAAGTTGGGTGTCATCTGCCTTTTAAGGGAAGCAGGTATAATGCAAACAGAATTGGTCCTTCCACAAAATCCTGTGGTACTCCATAATTAACCTTAGTGTATGAATTTTTTGTATTTTTTTTTGTTTTTGTATTTGTAACCTTCACTAAAGCCATTTCTGTATTGTGATGAGCTCTGAAACCTAACTGAAACTCTTCAAATAAACCATTTTTGTTGAATTTGTTCACACTGTTGCAGTCTGGATACCTGTACACCTTTGAGGTTTTATTGCTTGCATGGCATGTTCACCTTATAGTAACCTTAAAGTAAACATGGCCATGCTAACTTCAGGGTCAGACAAACACATGGTGTCTGTGGTCCTCTGACTCCCCTTTAGCTCCCTTACCAGTGCATGTGTCTGCATCAGGTGTGTTCTCAGGTACGGACAGCCCCCGTCTGGCTGAGTTCCTGAAGGCAGCCACTCTACTCAGAGAACAGTTCCGTTTCGCTCACAGCACCAACCTGCAGCTCGCCGAAGAGCATGGGGCCAACTCAGAGTGAGTTCACACCTAAGTGATATCACCGTAGTGATGTCACAGTTTAAAGGTGTTATTCTCACTTCTGTGCGTGTGTGTGTCTCTCTCTCCAGATGTGTGCTGCTGTTCAGACCTCCCAGACTCGCCAATGCTTTTGAGGACAGCATTGTCATCTTCAGAGACTACCTGACCATCGGCTCACTGCGGCGCTTCATCAGAGATCACATGTGAGTCTTTAAGAGATAAGAGATAACTCTTTATTGTCATTGCACAGTCATATATAGTACAATGAAATTGGAAAACTGTCCTACGTCATTAGAGGAACCGCAGCCTCATTCTGTGTGTCCACCTATGTGCAGCTACGGTCTGTGTCCTCACATGACAATAGAGAATAGAGACCGACTGAGAGTCCGGGACCTGCTGACGGCGTACTACGATCTTGACTACCATCACAACATCCCCGGCTCCAACTACTGGAGGAACAGGTAACGCGAGCACACAGAGGGGATGTGTTCCAGATGTACAGCTTGATTGACTAAAGTGTTTGTGTGTAATCCTCTCCCCTGTGTGTTTTCTTCTCAGGGTAATGAAGGTGGCGTCTAAGTATGTCGGGCGGGGTCTAACCTTCTCTATAGCCAATAAGAAGGACTTCCTGTTGGAGCTGGAGGAAGACTTTGGAATGGGGACGTCAGATGGAGGGGAGCTGCCCTTTATCACCATCCGGACCCGACTGGGTCACAAGTACACCATGAGGGAGGAGTTCACGTGCGTAGCCAAGTCATACCACTATGTCACCTGTTCTGCAGGTGAGGGGGTGGGGTCACAATAAACCAGAACTATCTGATCCAAGTCTGTTTCAAACTTTTGGGGGGGCTGACCCGCATTTCTCAGCTTTCTAACCTCATTCACAATGAAAGCACCAACAAGTAACTGTGTGTGTTTGTTTGTTTGTCTTAGGAGGGATGGTGCGTCTCTGCAGAGGTTCCTGGAAGATTACTTTGCAGGTCGACTCAAACGTTACATCAAATCAGAACCGATACCTGAAAAGAACTCTGGGGCTGTCAAAGTGAGTAAAACAAACACGCCAAAGCCTCTTGTGTGAGTATCAATGACGTTGTAGACCTCTTTGTAACCTCTGACCTGTGTGCATCAGGTGGTGGTAGCAGAGTCCTTTGATCAGGTGGTGAATGACCCGGATAAAAATGTTCTGATCCAGTTTTTTTCTCCGTTGTGTCCTCACTGTAAGAAGTTGGAGCCGGTCTATGGAGAGCTTGCTGAAACGGTACGCTCACTCATATACTGAGAATATAATGTCCACTCTCACACTCTGTCGCTTTAGCAGTAACTGGGTGTTCGCTGTTTGGCTAGCTTCACTCAAACAGGAAAATCCAACTGTAGCCGTAATGTGCGGATTTGTAAAGCACTTTATAAATAAGCACTGTGTGGTGAAGACCCTGTTTTAGTCACCAGACCAACAAGCTTGAGTCCACACTCAAGCTTCTCTGCACCAGGTGTACCATCCTGTGCAATCAGCTGGCAAAGCAGATGTTTGCAAGGTGTGATCAATGCTATTTTACACAATAAAATATTCTTTCTTTCGCCAAACACAACCAAACAGATTACTACAACACAGGTTACTTACTGCATGCGTATCACACCAAAAACATAACGGTTTCCTATCGAAGATAATTGCAAATCCCATCATCCATCAGCATTTCTGCAGGAAAAAAAACCTAATCTCCACGTTACAGTCTCCTTCCCTCACATTTGGGCTCATTCCTCACTTCTAATATGAAATAATCCGGTCAGTGAGATGATGTAAGGAAAAAAGAAAACATCACCAAAAAGTATGACATCTCTTTCTCAGAGCGTCTGCTTTTTTTTTTTCCTTTGTACACTTGAACCTACTTGCCCTGCAGACTTGCCGATGGTATTCCTGGTTGTGCTTCAGTAAGAAACTGCATTCTGTTTGTGGTGTGGTGTGCATTAGGGCTGCCACGATTAGTCGAATAGTCATGATTACGTCGACTATCAAAATTGTCGACAACTAATTTAATAGTCGACACATCGTTTGAAGCTTTGTAAGATCCCAAAAGACGCGGGAATAAGTAGTAGGATTTAAGAGTGTAATAACAGACTGAAACAGAACATGGCAGCACTGCATGTACAAGGATGCCAGCTGCCGTTAATAGTTTTTACACAGCAGAATAAACGTCAATCAGACAACTGATTATCAGAAGTGTGAGATGCTCGATAATATACTCCGGTGTCCTGTTATATTTTAGATAGCAAGGAGCAGACGGCTGAGTTTATTAAATTTAAATGAAATTTGCAGATTGTTTCAGTGGAGTTTAATAAACCATCATCTTGTCTTTATTTTTAGCTAGCACATACCTTAAACACTTAAAGCTCTAAGCTAATGATAGTTATATAAGAGCAGATGCTGCTGGCGCAATAAGCTGTACGTTTTATGTCTAATGGATACATAATCTGATTAGTCGACTAATCGCAAAAATAATCGGTGACTAGTAAAATAATCGTTTGGCAGCCCTAGTGTGCATGTACTGGGCTGTTATGTTCTAAATTATTAAATTAAATAATAATAATTAAAATGCTAACTAATTGAAAAAGAAGTGTACCGTAATTGTCGGGCTATAAGCCGCTACTTTTTGCACAAGCTTTGAACCCTGCGGCTTTTAGTCAGGTGCGGCTTTTCTATGGATTGTCCATGATTTTTGTCATATCGTAAGACGATTTGTTTTGTTTGTTCCGCTGTTGTACGGCACTACGTTACTATTAACTATACATTTAATCTTCAGTATAAGAAAAGTGCAGTTTGAACAGTTTCTCTACACAATAAGGAAATGGTGCTAGAATAAGAATGGGCTGGGTCTTATATATTTGTGTGACATGGCCTTCCTGCTCTCAACACCAGCTGAGCACCGCAAATAAGCAGGTGCACAACAAACCACACAAAGCTGCCAGCTCATGCTTCTGTAGCATCGTGTGTGCTATTATGAACTACTCTCACACTGCAGCTGCACTTAGGCTCTGCCCCTTCCTGAGTGTGTAAAACATCTGCAAAAGGTCACATGACATCTTAGAAACTCTGAAACATCTTCCGTCTTCCTCAAATGGGGACTTGTCTCAGACCTGGTGCTGGTTCCTGTTTGCCTATGAGGTCTTGTGTGCTGTAGCTCCACCCACTAAAATGACCTGTTGTACTGAAGGAGATATTACTGGTTTATTTCTGTGTGAAATCATTGTCAAACCTTTGTGTTCTTCAGCTGCGCTCTGACCCCAAAATCGTCATTGCCAAGATGAACGCCCTGGCCAATGACGTCCCTCTGGGTTACGATGTCCAAGGGTGAGATTCAGGTTTCCCGTGACATGCTTCAGTCATTGCCAGGTGTGAGTCTGATGTCGCTGTGTCTGCCTGCAGGTTTCCCACCATCTACTTTGCTCCAGTAGGCAGGAAGGACGAACCCGTCAGATACCAGGTAAGACACCTGAGTGCATACCCAAGACCTGAGGCTAGATGGACCTCAGCTACAGTTTTAGACGAAGTTGCTTCCTCTCAGTTTATCTAAGGTCAATGTTATCTGCAGCAGCCCACTCGCCTGTGCTGTAGTTTTCCCTCACAGCTGTTTGAGCTGCCTTGTCTCAGGGTTTTATGGGTAGTTATTTATGCTCTGTGCTCACCTATGTGCACCAGCTCAGGTCCACACCTGCAGTCTGCGGCTTCTCTCAGCATATGTCAGTGGGATTTAAAAATTCCATTTTCTCATTTACATACATCCTGTTTGTCAACACAGAGTCTGCCCATTCACACTTCACATTTAAATAATTTTCTAACCCCCCGGGTCAGTGTGAGCACTGCAAAGTACAGACACTCATTTTTCTCCACAGCCACTCATGGTCAGCTCAGAAGAAACACAGGACATAATTTGGTCCATTAAACTGCACCTGCTTCCACTTGTACAGGCTCTTGACTGATATGGTACAGGTACAGGTACAACCACATCTGTGCGCAGATCAGAAGAGGCATTTTCTCAAAGTGCAGAAGTGAGTCATTCAACGATTCAGTGCAGAGAGGTCTATTAACACATAGTGAGTGAGAAAGGTGAAGAAGACTCAGTGCATCATGGGAATCCCCCAGCAGCCTACACTTATTGCAGCATAACTAAGGGAGGATTCAGGGTCACCTGATCCAGCCTAATGATATGCTTTAGCAAAAAGGAAAGTTTTAAGCCTAATCTTAAAAGTTGAGCAGCCAATAACACCAGTGTGCTTTTTACTGCTCTCATTTATCATCCACAGGGCATACGGACGCAGTACCCTCAGGGTCTGCCGACTGCTGCTAAAGTCCTGATTTTATACTAATTAATTAAATCCTCGTCTTATTCCTCAGCTGGTCTATATAAATAAAAGTGTGTGTGTGTGTATATATAATAATAACTAATGTGAGCCTGTAAAGGGCTGGATGTTAAAAATCCTTCCTGGTGACAAATATTTGCTTTGATTACACTGTAACTTCAGGCTGTGGTCTTTCCTGGAAAACCCAACGTGTTTATACTGTTTGACTCAACATTTATTGTTCAGAAACAGCACTACAGCTGTTTCTGAACAATAGGCTCATACACCACCAAAGAAGAGCCTACAGGGATTATAAATGAAGAATTTTACTTTGAAAGTCTGTTGTCATTTACGTACACACACAGCCACATTTCCTGCTCGGACCAGTCTGTTTTTTTTAATACACCCTCATTCATCCAGAGCTGCAAGTGGAGGAAGTGAAGCTAAAGTTCAGTGTTTAATAGTTGGTAGTTTGCTGAAGCTTACACAGACACTGTGGACACTGTGCAGTTTGTGAAGGCAAGGCTTCACAGTAAGGGTGGAGCTTGAGCCACTGACAGGTTTTCAAGATAAAGTCTTTATGTTAACTTCCTTCTGGGGTCACATGACATTCTCCCATGTGCTTTCAGGGCACCCGCGAGCTCAAAGACTTCCTCCGGTTCCTCAAGCGAGAGGCGAGTCACCACTTGGTGTTGAGTGGCTTCAAAGATGAACTCTGACACCCCCAACAGCAAGGAGGAGAGCCTGAATCTGGAGCGCCAATACCGGACATTACATCAGGACACTCGTTGCATCAAATCAAATCGCTCACTCATCCCTGAAACACACCACTATTAATCATGCCATTGTCAGCCTCATTATTTATTTATTTATTTGTTTGTTTGTTTGTTTGTTTGTTAACTTCAGTCGACCTCCTTTCGTGCACAAACAGGTTGCAGGTGTTTTTCTTCTGTTTTTTGGGACAATAAAGTTTTGTATGAATTTCAGAGACTTGGACAGGTTTGTGCTCGTTCAGGCCCACAGCTGCTTATCGACCTGTCGTCCCAATATGCTTTAGGCACATGTGATGTCACTGGACACAGGTAAACACACTCATGGGAATATCCACGTGTGTTTTCAGAATGCAAATCAGTCAAAATTGATTCTCAGCTTGGTGTACAAATAAGTCACAAGAAATGCAGAAAGTGCTACATGAGCACCAGCCCTGAGTCTCCTCAATGAAGGAGACATTCACAATCAGCCTGTTAGATATAAGCATAATTAAATTCACATATGACTACTCACATTATTTGCCACATTTTCATGACGGTAATCCCACTTTTTATTGTATTTATGGCTGGTTGGTTCTTGGAACCAACTCTCTGATGCATTCATGAGTCTAAATGTTACATAGTAGAGTAGAGAAGCACTGTAGTCCATTTACCTTTGGTTTCTGCTTTGAGAAGTACTGAATAAAAATGTTTTGGGAACCCTGGTCAAAAACACCCCCTCCTCCCATGCAGTTTCAATAAATGAAACTATTTATTCACCTCATGCTTGCCATGGATCCTAAACTAAAGTATCACACAATATCAAAGGTGGTGGGGCATTCTGTCAGTCATTTTAAAGAAGAAAGGCTTCATTGTTTCATGAATCACCTGATCCAGTCTAGAAATTACCAGAACACTGAAGATGTTACTGCATTAACCTGAGACAGCTGGGTCGGTTCCTGGTCATGAAACACATGAAAGGGAGACGTGATGCTGCTACAACCCTGCTGGGAGTGAGGAAGACTTCTGATGTGACTGCCCACTGCCCAGTGGGAAAACGAGCTGGAAAAAAGTGTAACCTTTGCTCCTTAACAGACAGGAAGGGAGAAAGTGGTAGCGCCTGATGCTTTTGCTTGTTTCCGGTCCTGTAGAAAGATTGGTTTGCATTACCAGGAGTAAGTCTATTTAATAATAATGAATTTTATTTATTTTATTTATAAAGATCCTCAAAATTACATTAGTACAACAAAATAAATGATAAAAATAAGAAGACCAAGTGATATTATTTCTATGTGCCGTGAAGGAAAGAGCGCTGTCAATGATGACACCAACACTGTTAACCTGAGGGGAAGGTATGACAATAGTTATCAATGGATAATGAAAGATTTATGGTCCCAACTTTAGTCAGTATAGATTTGGTGCATATTTGAATACATTCTGTTTTATTACCATTAAGCTTAAGAAAGTTCTGAAACCTTGATTTCACTTTAACGATAAGAAATGTGGGCATGAGAGTAACTATAGGTTTGGAAGTAGATTTGGGTGTCATCTGCGTAGCAGTGGAATTGAATGTTATATTTCTTGAAAATATTACCTAGATGTCGGAGATAATAAAAAGCAAAGATCCCAGGACAGAGCCTTGGGGTACACAGGACTTAACTGGAGTAGATGGTGATCTGTGAATAAGTAATTGAAAAAAACTGTGCACGGCCAGAGAGATATGAGGTAAACCAGGCGAGTGCTATATTTTTGATGCCAATAGATGTTAATCTATGAAGAAGGATGCCGTGGGAGATTGTATCAAAAGTTGCCATAAGGTCAAGGAGAATGAGGATAGTGATGAGTCCAGAATCCGCTGCAAACAAAAGATCATTTGTGATTTTTCCTAGAGCTGTTTCTGTACTATGGAATGAACAGAAGCCAGATTAAAACGGTTCAATTTTTGCAGTTTTATTTATACAGCACCAAATCACAACAACAGTCAATTTTAAGGTAGACCCTACAATAATACATACATGAAAAACAACAATTAATCAATGACCCCCTATGAGCAAGTACTTTGGCAACAGTGGGAACACGTGAACACGTAAACATTCGGCCCATTTCTCATGGGGCGCTGCTAGCTTGAGTGACACACATGTCTAAGATGGACTTTATACAGTTTATTCCTCTGCACGACAGACTGCTCTATACAGGTTACAGGGCACGCCTCTGAGCGCATCTATCATTAATGCTACTGTGCATAAAGCTCCGACAATGGTACAGACGTTCATTACACTCCCACCAATCATGCTATGATTTACAAACTAGCTAAATCATACATGATTCTGAACAACAACAAAAATGAAACCACTTCAGCCAATATAAAGGTGTACAGACCATGATAGAGCAGTTGCCACTTGGAATGGTACATTGTTTATGTCAATATGTCAGTTCATCTCAGACAATAACATGTTTGTTATTATTCTCTTTCAACAAGAACCACCAATTTTTGGATAGGCTGCTCGATAATGGGGGGCTTGAAAGCACGGTCCTGTTTTTTGGTCCGACTTTGGTCTCCTACTTGAACCTTGACCCGACGGACTAAACCATCATCCCCTTCGATAGTTTCAACTATACGTCCCAGTTGCCACTGACACCTTGGTAACATACCTTCTTTGATGATAACAATGTCATTCACTTTTAGATTGCGGAGGGTTTTGTGCCACTTCTGTCTTGTGGAGGCATTCATGAGGTATTCTCTTTTCTGCTCAGTTAAGTATTCTACTCTATGCCACCTCTTCACTGCATACATGTCTTCTTTCACAAATTTCCCAGGTGGTGGTAGGACAACCTTGGACTTCATCAGTATAAGATGGTTTGGAGTAAGAGGTTCAGGTGCTTTTGGGTTGCTGATACTGTCCACAGTCAATGGGTGGCTATTTACAATAGCCATGGCTTCATAAAACAAAGTTCTAAGAGAGGCATCGTCTAGTCTTCCTGCACACTGAGCAGTAGTGGCATTTAGCACATTACGAATGCTCCTAATGGCCACCTGCATGACTTGCAGAAGGAGCACTGAAAACAAACTCACACTGTTTGTCTGCCAGGAAAGCTTCCAGTGCCTGCATGTCACACGCCTCTGCCTTTCTAAATGGAGGGACAGTAACTGCGTGTGTATATGTAAGTGTGTAAAACCTGAAGATAGTCAGATTAACAGTATTTTGTCTCTATCTGCCATTCTGCAATTCATCTCATGTAAAAAATAACATGCGCACAGCGTGACGTGAAAAAGGCACATACCTTGGACGTTGCGTGACGAACTCTGTATTCCTCGTCCACACGTAAACGCAAAAAAGGAGTGATTCGAAACACCATTTATGTGTGGATGAAGCAGCTGCGTTTTCAAAAATACCCGTTTAGGTGTGGACATAGCGTAAAAGAGTTAGTAGTTTACTTTCTTACTACCTGTAATTTATTGCAGATTACTTGTATTTGCTTAATTGCTTACTAAATGTTTGAGGTGTGAAATGGATTGGAATGGATTGCATTTATATAGCGCTTTTCTAGGCACCCAAAGCGCTTTACAATTCCACTATTCATTCACTCTCACATTCACAATGTGAAATAAACCAGAATGGAGCAAAATATGGGTGTGGCCCAGCAAAAAAAGTTTGGGAACCACTCCTGGAGAGTGTTGTTACACTTGGTTGACTGTTGTGATGGGTTCTCTCTTCACCATTGAAATGATTCTGCAATCATCCACCACTGTTGTCTTCCTTGGACACCCAGGTCTTTCGGGGTTGCTGAGTTCACCTGTCCTTTTTTTCCTTTCTCAGGATTTACCAAACTGTAAATTTTGTCACTTCTAATATTGTAGCAATTTCTCGGATGGGTTTTTCTGTTCTCTTTGACCGCGTGGTGTCTGTTCATAATAAAATTTTCCAAATGCAAGCACAACACCTCAAATCAATCCAGGCTTTTTGTCTAATTAATTGATAATGACATAGCGAAGAAATTATCCATACCTGCCTGTGAATAGCTGTTGAGTCACTTGTCCATTAACGTTTGGTCCCTTCAAAAAGAGGGTGCCACATATTAAGAAGAAGAAACTCCTAAACACTTCATCCACATTGAATATGGATACCCTAGATTAAATGTCATTTCTATAATATGACTATAATTAGAATATATTTCAGTAAACAGGTAACAAAACAAAAGTTGTCAGTGTCCAAATAGATATGGACCTAACTGAAGGCTACTCTGAGTGCTCAAAGCACTTTATACAGCAGATCACATTAGGTCTGTTGCATTTTCTAAGTCTAGGATACCAAGCGATTCCACTTAATAAATAGATGCATAAATCCAGCTGCGGTTGTTGTTTAAGTCTCGGTTGAAAAGCTCAATCCTCTGGTTGTGCACAGAACTTCCCATTAAGCCAGAGCCTTCACCCCTGCTTGTTCTCATGTCCTCCCAAATGTGAGACTTCTCACGTAACCCCAGATATGCAGGGGTCTGCCAAATTGTCCAACAGCTGCAGTAAAGAGCGCTTTTACAGTCTCAGCTCTGATATCAAACATCAACACCCCGCTGTATCCATCTATTGCACCATGAAAAACAAACTTCCAACGAATCAGCTTGTGATTTGCATCTATATGTCATATGAAATTTGGATGAGGCACGGCATATACTCGCCAAGCAATTGCAGCTCTTCTGGATAGAACACCAGCGGAGTCCACTCAACCCCCCCTAGTGACTCTCTTAGACGCCATCTTTGAACCACTATATTTTTGGAATGCAGGTGTCCCATCAGCATCATTTCTCCAACAGTTGGATGTTCCGTTTTTATCTGAGAAACTATCTGATGATTTAAATATAATATTTAGATGTAAAATTTGTATTTTATATAGTATTTAGATTAAATATATTTTGAAATACAAAAAGTTTTAAATATAAAACGTTACAAATATTTTCGTAAATGTTGTAAAAAGTGACTCGAAAAATGTTTTCATAAGGTTTGGAGCTAAATGTGTAAAACTGTTGCCGCTAATTTCAGCATTTTCAGTTTACAAACGGCGCACCATAGGTAGGTAGGATGAGGGTTAGAAAAAGCTCTGAGACGCCCATGCTCCTGAGTATAAATTGTTTCTTTAAAAAAAGCAAAAAATGTCATTTTAGAAGTTCAGTCCAAAACTCTGAATTCTGATGGTGCTTATTGTAGAAGCTGCTCTATTTTTAGCGGAAACAGTTTTT